ACCGGGCGTGGTAGTGCACGCCTGTAATTCCGGCTACTCAGAAGGCTGAGGCGGAAGGATGGCCGGAGCCCAGCAGGCGAGGCTGCGGTGGCCAGGAGGGTCCACTGCACTCCAGTCTGGGTGACAGAGTGAGACTCCAACTAAAAAAAAAATAATAATAAAATAAAAAACATTAGCCAGGTGTGATGTGCACTAGTAGTCTCAGCTACTCAGGAGACTGAGGTGGAAGGATTGTCTGAGCTCATAAGGTCAAGGCTACAGTGAGCCGTGGTCATGCCGCTGTACTCCAACATAGGCAAAAGAGTGAAGCTCTGACTCAAATAAATAAAACTCATAATTTTCTTTCAAAACGTAGCTCTGTCTCTCTTCTGCATTCCAATTGTCCTTCCTCAGATAGCAGACCCAGAGTCTTAGCACCATCTGGCTCCTCCTTCTTCCTTGAGCCCCCAATAACATTAAAGAAGTCATCAAAACCCACTGTTCCCTTCTGGTCAGCTCATGGCTCTCTCATCAGGGTCCCTTTCTCTGACTCCACAGGCTCCGTGAGCATATTGGGCCACTCCACAAAGGTCCCAGCCCAAGAACCTGCCTGCTGTCTTCAGGATATTCCTTGCCTCACTAGTCAAAGTACATGTTCTCTCAGCTGCATTGATTTCACCTGGGAACTTGTTAAAAATGCAAAATCTCAGACCCCACCCCAGAAAACTGCTGGATCTGAAACTTCATTTTAACAAGATCCTCAGGTGATTCATATGCATGTAAGGTTTGAGAAGCATTGAATGAGAAGGCGAGAAGTTCAGATTTTTGTTACTGCTGCAGGAGTAATGCATTGACAGGCGATCCAAGACCCCCGTCTTCTTAGTATTCTTCCAGAGAGTTGTCAAGTTAAGGCTGCGCTTTGAATGCAAATTACTTTTACTCATGACACCAGCATAATTTTGCAATGTGTACAGCTGAAGAGGGAGGCGTGTGCCTAACCTATGCTAAAGATGCATTATGCTGGGATTTATTTTAAGCCTTTGAAATGTCATTCTTCCTCCCTTCCCTGTTTCCTCCCCCTTCCCTCTGTGCTGTGATGAAAACCTATATTCCTATGGCTTGGAGTGTAATCTTTATGACAGTTCCAGAAATTATCAGTGGAGTTATGAACAACAGCAGAGAGACAACCCTCCTATTTTCATGTTTCTGTTTTGTTTTGTTTTGTTTAAAGATGTAAGGTACAATTCAGGATTATGTATATAAATGGTTATTGCACAGGTAAAGTTTGGGCCTCACTTTGGTCCCCACTTCAGCTGGTTTGAGTTCAGGTACCCTTATTGATGCAGTGTGCTCCCCACCTCCCTCCCCTGGCAGTTTCCCACTATTGCCAATCCCTTTCTTGTAGTATTATGTTCAGGGTCCGCTTATGAATGAGAACATTTGGTACTCTTCTTTGTTTCTGTGATAGAACGCTGAGCACTATAGACCCTAAATCCATCCAATTTTTTACAAGCCATACCGATAGATTAAGAGCTCAGTAGGTAGAATATTCTATATCAATGCCAAGTTAACATCAGTAAGTCAAATTCTAACTATAAGTACCCAGTTTTAGTTTTTTCTGCCCTAGCTGCTAATAACTACCATTCATCAAGCTTCTGGCCCCATGCTAAATACAAGGCGTTGGGTTAATCGTTCTGCACATAGAACCTTATGCAATCCTCACACCAACCTTATAAGGTGGAAATTATTAGTCTCATTTTACAGATTAGGAAGCTGAGGCTGTAAAAGGCAAATTAAGCGGCCCAATATCTCCCAGTATTCAATTCCAGATCAGACTGATGCCAATGCCCTTGCTCCTAACCACTCAGCAACATGGCCTCCCGCGCCCCTCAAAAGGGTTATGTTAAGTGATGTCCTGTTATTTGCTGACCCTCAGGAGGTGTATGTGGGGAAGGAGACCATGTGTACCGTGGATGGTCTTCACTTCAATAGCACATACAACGCTCGCGTCAAGGCCTTCAACAAAACAGGAGTCAGCCCGTACAGCAAGACCCTGGTCCTCCAAACGTCCGAGGGTAAGGCCCTTCAGCAGTATCCCTCAGAGCGAGAACTGCGTGGCATCTAAAATGGCTGGCAAGCCCGGAGGTAACCCCACCACTGCCCACATTCCTGAAGTGTTGCCATGACTCGCTCTGCATTCTGCACAGAGCCGCTGTTCCTCTCCTGCCGTTAGAGAGCCCATGGTATGTGGATGTGATCAAACCAAAGATCCCACATCGGCAGTTCAAATGGCTTGGGCCATCGGCTTCCTTTGATAACACTCTAAGTGAGCTGCAGTTGAAGAAGCTGAAACCTGAAAGCCTGAATGTGCCCCTGGTGTGAGACGAACGTACCTAGGCTCTAGGACAGGCTCCCACTCTCCACCGATACCCGTCATGTGCCATTTTTGCCCAGATGATTCTAAGCTGCTCTGTAGTACTTACCTGTTCCTGGGGGTGGTGCGCAGGTTCTTTCCAGCTGTGGGTTTGTATGACTGAACGTGTTTCAGGTGGGTGTGGGGCACTAGAACTGTTCAGAGAGGGCCTGTTGGCCGCTCCTGGCTTCCCGAACCACCTCCATTTCATACACAAAGCAGAGGCCATTGGCACCAGCACTGGGACTTCCTGTGGGCACCAAACAGGAAAGATACCAGCAACTCCAAGTTACCCACCCTTGTCATCTTTGCCAGCCCCTCTAGTCTTGGTCAGGTTGCCTAGGGCCACCATAAGTGGTCAGTCGCTAGAGAAATTTTGCTTCTTGGTTATATGCTAAATATTTTGGTCATCAAAGGCAAGTAATCCACCCAGAAGGGAGGCTTGAATTTGATGGCCAGGTATAACTTCTGAAGCTTTTAACATGTTCACTTTAAGAGTAGGCGTGACACATGAAATTAAACCTCCGAAGAGATATGTGTGGCCCGTGCCAAAGCATCTTGAGACCTTGGGGTGTCATTTTAATCAAATAGGTCACCCCCCACCACACTGGCATTCTCCATAACTTCCCTCTGCAGAAGTAATTATGTTGATTTTGTTCAAGTTCAAGATGTTAGCTAAAAGAAGCGTGGTGGGTTTTTTTTTCTCACTTCCCACAAACCTCAGCATATGCCAGTCACCCTAAAATGATTCACATGGTTACAAACAAGCACAACTTTGAACCCCACAGCAAGAGTGAAAGGCCCCTAGCCATGAAAACAGTGCTTTGGGGGGCAGTTGTCAGTCTATGAGTGATGCTATTCAAAGAGAGGGATTTGTTCAAAGGAAAATGCCCACATGACCTATTCCCATTTGGAGTACAGTGACGTGGTAGCTAGAACTTCCCTTGGAATTAGCATTTTAGCAACTTCTCTCTGAAGTGACCTATCCATTTGAGAGCAGTTACCTCTTTTCCCAAAATACCACTGCATACATGCTAAAGCCCTCCAAGAAATTTTCCTAAATGCACAGCAGAAGGCCCTTGCTGGTGATGGCCTCCTTCCCATGTGTGTACAAGGTGGTTTGGTTGAACGGTGAAGTGCATGCCTGCAGAGCAGAGAGAAATTTGCAGCAATGTTGCTAATACATGTCATCAGATCTGCGGGAGAATAGTTTCCATTCACAAAGCATCATGGCAATCATACTATTCTGCTAAAATCAGTTATTAGAGTTATTAGTATAACAGCCTGAGCACTTATGCCTCTCGTTTCATCCTGCAGGAAGATGTAGTTTCTCAGTTTCTTTTAATGTTCACAAGATTATGGTGTCTAATTTAATAAATTACAGGATTGGAACTGCGATCCTTGGTACCACAGTCACAGAACTGGGGGTCTTTTTCTAGATGAAACAAACGGAACAAGTTCTCTTCCAACAAAGAAACTGTACTGTAGAAATTAATTTCCTCCATGAATTTTATATATTGTGTACAAATATAAGGTATGTATCTGAATACAAAGAAAACCCTATCATCATGTAGATATCAGTATTCTCTGTTACTGCACAGAAGTAATTTTCTCATGATGAAATAAAGTTCACACACATACTTTCTCCATAACTTTGGTTTGTTCTATTTGTTTCTCCCTCATTGTAATTTATTCAAATAGTGAGATTAGATTTAGAAAGCAAGAAAAAATATAGCGAGTAGTTTATTTTTAAACAATTTGATCAATCCGTAACAATAGAGAAAGCCTGTAGAATTAAACAATTATATTTCTTTTTTGTTGTTTTTTTAGAAATCAGTAAGAAAATGCTATTAACAGAATTTATATACATTCTCTGCACTTATACTTTATTAATCTTATTTCCTACAGTTCCTGGAAAGGTTTGCTTTAGAGATTTTTTTTAATCTTTGCTGGTATGGGGGATGGTAGGGTGGTTCATTTTGGCTTTCAATTATAACAAAATCTTTTACATTCTTCTTAGCAAGAGTTAGCGCCTTTCCAAGTTCAAAATGAAAATCTGTATCACAGAAGGGTCCAATTTCATATAGAATAGCAAAAGTCTAACTTGTAATCATACGTATCCAGTCTGAGGTTTAAGTCACTTACCACTTAGACTCTGTGAACTGTCCCAAAACCTTCTGCTGAAGGGTAACATTATGCAGGGGAGATCAAACATCTACATTATTACAAATTCTGATTTTTTTTTAAAAAGCAAATTGATCTATCTGTCTATCTATGTACTAGATAGTGCATGTGTGCTTCTCTGTGGGTGTAGAGTGTTAAACAGATCTTACCCCTGCTGTCCTGGAGTTTACAGTTAGAGAAGCAGGCCTTGGAGAACTGAACATAGTTACATACTTGTAATAGACACTGTAAATAAAGGAAAAGGGATCAGCAGGAAGATACAATTTTTATAGAAGAATTGGTCTGGAAAACAATGAAAAACTATTTAATTCAATGGAAATTATAAAGAAAATGTTATAAAGAAAAAAGGAAGGGTATGGTGGCGCACACCTGTATTCTCAGCTACCGGGGTTGAAGAGGGAGGATCGCTTTAGTTCAGGAGTTCAAAATCAGCCTGAGCAACACAGCAAGATCCTGTCGAGAGAGAGAGAGAGAGAGAGAGAGAGAAATGCCTTATTATATGAGTTCAATTTTGGTTAGTTCCTTGAAAGCAAAGTTTCTGAGAATGTATCTAAGACACCCATGTAAAAAAAAAAAAGTCCAATCACCAACCAAATTTCCCTGACTTAAGAAGAAATATAACTGTAAGCAATTAAGAATTTTAGTGAAGCTGGGCTCGGTGGCTCAGCCTGTAATCCCACGCCTTGGGAGGCTGAGGTGAGTGGATTGCTTGAGTCCGCAGGTTCGAGACCCACCTGGGCAACTTGGTGAGACCTCATCTCTACAATAAATCAAAAATTAGCCAGGCGTGGTAGCACGCGCCTGTAG